TTTTTTTTTTTTTTTTTTTTGGTAGCTGGTATTGGTGGCATGCCCACTGTTTGCCCACCTCCATTCTGGTGACTAGAGGAGGAGGAGACTGAGCGTGTGGATACCCCCTACCCTCACCACTGGTGGGTTCTTCTGCCACACATGCGCACAGATACTCCGCCCAAGAGCAGGCCCTGAACAGTTTTTGTTTTGTTTTGTCTTTTAGTACAGGAAAGGGAAGAAAATGGCAGTAGAGAGGGAAAGAGAGTTTAAATCCAAACAGGCCAAAAATTAAATTAAAGCCTGAGGTATAGCATAACAACCAACACTGGCATCTTGAAATCTTTCAGATAGCTTTGAAAGCAAGAAGCTGAAGCGAGGACAATAAAGTCATACTCGTATTAGGATACAGATTTTTTTTTTTTCTTCACTCCCTCCTCTCACTTTTCGGTGATTATAGACTGCAGTATTCAGTCTAGGTTTTGTTGTTGCTGTTGTTTTTTTGTTGTTGTTGCTTTTTTTACCTCTTGTTTTTTTCCCGCTGGTGCTATTTTGCTGTTTTATGCTCCCCTTTCTACCTTTGGAGGGATCTTTCACTCCATATATTACACAAGAAGAGTCAGCAACTGCTACCATATAGCCAAGCTACAATCACAATCTACAAAGCACCAAAACCCAGGCAAGAACCAATACCAAGTGCCATATGCCAGGGAAACAGACAACAGGTGTGAAATTTACTCTGAGTTGAGCAATAAGAAGAGTGAAAAGGGAAGCCCACATCCTGATCATACCTACCTGGAAGCAATTCGAATGCATAAAATATACCAAAACAAATACTCAATTAAGTATTAAGGCCACAAATAAACATTAAACATGTCCAAGAAGCAAAATCAGATGACCATATCAGCAGATGTCCAGAAAAAAGATAAAATGTCTGAGGCAAATGACCTAGAGGTAGTCCTGGACTTCATTCTGGAAGAAGGGCAGGCCTAGGAAATGCCTGAAAAGGAATTCAGAAAACACCCTACAATGGAGTTGAAAAAAGTAAGGAAGAAGTTAGGAAAGCACTACAGGACCAATCAAATAAGATAGGTACAGCATTGGAAATAATTCAAAACCTACAGAAAGAGGTTCAAATGATCAACAACAGAATATTAGAAATAGACAACACTCTGAAAAGGCAAAGGAGTAGAATAAACGAGATGGAAGGCAGAACCACTGAGCTGGAACACAAATCTCTCAATACCACTAAGACAGAAGAACAAACACACAAAAAAAGATTAAAAAATTCTGAAGATGATCTAAGATTCATGTTGGACAACATGAAGAGGAATAACTTAAGAATTATCGGCATTCCAGAACAAGAAGAATCACACAAGTCCACAGAGGAATAGTTGAAAAACTGCTGGAAGAAAATTTCTCTAACATCCTGAAGAGTGAAAAGATAAGCATTCAAGAAGATCAATGAACCCCCGGAAGGATAGACCCCAAAAGAAAATCACCGAGATGTATCATAATATAGCTCTCCAAAACCAAAGATGACACATTGCTGAAAGCAGCTAAGGAAAACAGAAGTGTCACATAAAAAGGCAAGCAAGTCAAATTAAGCTCAGATCTCTCAGTAGAAACCATGCAAGCAAGAAAGCAATGAGGAGACATATACAAAACCCGGAAAGAAAAAAACTGCCAAACAGGAATCCTTTATTCAGCAAAGCTGTCAATCAAATATGACGGTGTAATCACAACATTCCAGGATAAACAGTAGCGAAGGGATTTGCCAAAGTCAACCCTGAGCTACAAAACATCCTAAAGGGAGTTCTGTGGACTAAGAACCAAGAAGAACAGACAACAAACAGACATTAACATACATGGCAGCACCTTCCAGAATTAAGTCGACAGAAGGAAGAGTCGAGAAAAGAACAAAACTGTAAGAACAAACTCTGAGAATCTGGGAGGTCTATCTATGATCAAAACAAGTACAACGTAAAAGAAGGTAAACACGTAGGAACAGAGATTCAGATGGTGAGAAGGTCAGGTAGATTACAAGATGAAATAGACTGCACTAAATGGAGAGACACTATGAGTCAGAAGTGACACCATCATACTTAACAACAATAACAAATGGAAAGAAAAGTTAATGGAACCTCAAAGAAAATTAACACTTCATAACATAATAAGAGATTGAAAATCCAAGAAGAATATGGAAACATTAAAACTATGAGGAAACTCACAAGAAAGAACACAAAAAGCATGAATTCAACAAAGGAAGACCCACAGAACAAAGAAAGCAACAACAACACAAAAAAACCCCACAAACATAATGGTAGCAATTAATCAATACCTATAATAATTACATTGAATGTAAATGGATTAAATTAACCTGTTAAGAGACGGAGGGTGGCAGAATGGATACGAAAACAAGATCCTTAAGTGCTGTCTACAAGAGACACATCTCACACACAAAAACAAAAACTGATTAAAAGTCAAAGGATGGAAAAAAATATACCAAGCTAATTGCAATAAAAAATGAACAGGAGTGGCAGCACTATATCTGATAAAATAAACTTTAAGGCAAAAACAAGCATAATAGATAAAGATGGACGTTATCTCATGATTAAAGGGACAATTGAACAAGATGAAATAACCATAATAAATATCTATGCTACCAATGAAAGAGCTCCAAAATATATAAAGCACACTGTAATAGATTTGAGAAAGAAACAGATTAATCTACAATAACAGTGGGTGATTTTATACACCACTCTCAAAATTGCATAGAACAACCAGAAAGAAACTTGACAAAGACACAGAAGAACTAAACAACACAATGAGGCAACTGGACCTCATAGATGTCTACAGAGCCTTCAACCCAACAACTGCACAATACATATTCCTTTCCAGTGCACAGGGAACATTCTGCAGAATAGACCTTGTTTTAGGCCACAAAACAAATCTCCATAAATTTACAAATATCAAAATACTACAAAGCATCTTCTCAGACCACAATGCTATCAAATTAGAAATCAACAATAGGAAG